CCACAACCCGTGGAAGGAGTTTCTTTCCTCCCTTGTGGTCTCTGAGGTCATCACTGTGTGCCGGGTCACATGACCGGGTGCAGCACACATAAGGAAGCTGCTCTTGAGCGTGCAGCGTCAGACACACTGCCAGTCTGGAGACAGGGACCAGATGACGCTCACTGTGATGAGGTAAGCAAAGTCACTGCGAGCGCCACGGGGGCAAGGGACCTGACAATAGTTTAGGTGCACATGGTCCTATGCCCAAAACAGTTCCAGGGAATTAGGGCCAACGGTAGGTCTCTCTTTCTGGAGTACAAAAGTACATAAATCACATAAGTTTTTAAAAGGCTCATCGTCTTTTGGCAGGCCCCTCCAAGAACCCATGGCAGATGCATTTCTGCCACATGTAGTATAATTGGTGTGACGAGACCAATCTCGCCACATTGCATTGGAGAAGCCTGGTTGCTCGCCTGCTGCCTTTGGACTATGGCCCCCTGTTAAAAGACATCTTTTTTACCTGCAGAAAAGCTTCATTCGTGCTTTTCTGCCTGGGGTTCGGTAGATTTGTTTGAATGTGTTATACCCCAGATAGGAATCCCATGGAGCCCATTCGTATGAAACTGACTGTAAAGACTTTGGCTCCATGGCGATTAAACTGTATTCGTGTGGTCTGAGCGCCATTCACTTAATAATGTGCGCTCAGACCTGAGCTATCTGGGGATATGTTAAATGTATAGTTTTAATGTAAGGTGTCTTACCTGATGTATTTTAAAGTGTTTTACTGTCTTTGTGTCCCCATGTGCTCAATGGAGTCTGCCTCTATCCCTGGATAATTGGATTACTTTCCCCATTGTCCAGGATAGAGGGTTCTGTAAAACCTGTTTGAGCCAGATAGCCATGCTGCCAGCCAGGGTACAAAAGATACTTTTTACTAACTTCTGAACCCCTGGTCTGATTCATGCCATTTTTTAATATGTTGTTCCCCTGAATGGATTGATTGTGAATATGTAATTTTATGTGAATGTGATGTATGGTTTTAGAGTTATGAAAGTTGGGTAGAAAGTATGTTTTAACTGTATGTGTAATTGAGTTTCCTCTCAGGATAAGGGGAGGGAATATGTGGGATGTAACTGATGTGATTGGTTGTTTTATACCTCCCTGTGGGCGGTCCTGTATTTGCAAGACTGTAATAAAAACCAGGCTGGGTGTGCCAGCACCTCAGACCACTGCTTGACCCTCAACACGGAGCCTTGTCTCGTTCTTGGGGGGATTCACTGTATGCTGTTAGAGACTGATTGCCAGGAGTGTAAGCTGATTGTCTGCTTTTCCTGTTCGTCTGCTAGCAGCTATTTGGGAGGTTCCAGTTCGGGAGTTGGAGTGCTATTTTGTATCCAGTTCGGGAGTTTGGTGTTCTGCAGTAGCTGTGCCTGTATCTCTGGAAAGGGGGCCGATCGCCTAAACGTTTTTTACCCCTTGTGTGCAAAATGGTCCGTTACAATTGGTGGCAAGCGGCGGGATCGTTCCTACAGTCAGAAGGACAGCTACAGGAGACACCATTTCTTTGGATTTACAAGTGGGGGCAACGCATGTCCCAGTACAGCGACCCTAAAAGCAACAGAATGGAACCAGCAGTGTTATACAAGGAGGAGGACCTGGATGGCCGGGATGCATTAAGGAAAGGCATCTGGTACCAGGCCCTGGATAATGTACAATACCAGCGGGGTGAGAGTCTCCCCAGTGAAGAGCAGCGGTTGCAGAAGCAAGTGGCCCTGCGGATGCCCTTCCTGGGAGAGCAGCCCCTGGAGGAATGGGTGAAGGAACTAGAGCATCGGGTATGGCAGGAGCTATGGCTGGAGGATGCCTACCAGGCGCTCTGGTGGTATATGGCACAGTATATACCCTGGACAGCTGAGCATGACAAGCAGGAGGGAGAGGAGTTTGATGGTCCTGGCTTGTTATGGGAGTCCTTTGCAGAGCCTGACTTCAGGAGCCCTGCGCAGAACAGACTTCAGGAAATTTTCTATGAGAGGGAGGCTAGGCATGACTGGGATGACCCCCATGAGGTAGAGCAAGACCTGGCTCACCTAGCAACCCTGGAGTGGGAACTGGAGCAGGACTACCGAGATCTCTTCCACTCCATTGGGAAGGTCCGCAGGACAGCAGAGTGACAGATCCAGTCTCAGACCCATTCAGCTGGGAAGATATTGTTGAAATTTACTGGGAGGAACCCCAGGCGGCAGGTGGAGAGGGGACCGAGGTCTCTCCACCGGTATTGCAGGGAATTGGGAGCCCGAGCTCCATTCCCCAGCATGAGATATTGCAGGGAATTGGGAGCCCAAGCTCCATTCCCCAGCGGCAGGCTGAGTTACAGGGTGCAGAGGTAGTTGTTCCTGCCCCCCAGCAGCAGAGTGATATGCCGGGAAGGCAGTGTGAAGTGCAGGGAGAGGAGAGCAGCGTCCTCCCTCCCCAGCGGCAGGCTGAGTTACAGGGGGCAGATGTAGTTGTTCTTGCCCCCCAGCAGCCAAGTGATATGCCGGGAGAGCAGTGTCCTCCCTCCCCAGCGGCAGCGTGATTTTTTGGGAATTGGGAGCCCAGTCTCCATTCCCCAGCGGCAGAGTGTCCTACCGGGAATAGAGAGCCCAGTCTCCTTTCCCCAGCAGCAGGACTCTGTATTGGGAGCAGAGACAGTCGGTGTCCCTCCCCCGCGACTGGAAGTATATATGGGAGAGGAGCTTGTTACTCCCTCTCCCCAGCGGCAGCTTAACGTACCAGGGGGGAACAGTAAACCCCACAACTGTGCAGATGGGACCGTGGTCTTTGCACATACAGCACAGGGGGTAGGGACGGTCGGTTCTGCCCCCCAGCGACAGGGCTGTGTAGCCAAAGGGGAGACAGTCGGTCTCCAGCAGCAGAGCTGTGTAACCAAAGGGGAGACAGTCGGTCTCCAGCAGCAGAGCTGTGTGTCCAAAGGGGAGACAGTCGGTCTCCAGCAGCAGGACTGTGTATCTAAAGGGGAGACAGTCGGTCTCCCCCTCCAACAACCAGGTTTCAACCAGGCTACCCTCCCAGTAGCGCTGGCAACAGGGCAGAGTGCCGCTGGTCTCTGCACATGCAGCACCCCACCAAGTCAGCGTACCCGTACCCAGCACAGCCGTGGTGAGGCACCTGGACATGGACAAGCTTCTCCTCTACCCAGGTGCAGTAACCATTTATTGTGGGTGGGCTGTGCTGTTGATTGTGTCTTGTGGGTGGGCTGCTGGACTAACAAGGGCACTGACCGGCAGGAGGTCAGATACCCTGTTAGTCTGTTTGGAAAAGGGGAGAGATGTGGCGAGACCAATCTCGCCACATTGCATTGGAGAAGCCTGGTTGCTCGCCTGCTGCCTTTGGACTATGGCCCCCTGTTAAAAGACATCTTTTTTACCTGCAGAAAAGCTTCATTCGTGCTTTTCTGCCTGGGGTTCGGTAGATTTGTTTGAATGTGTTATACCCCAGATAGGAATCCCATGGAGCCCATTCGTATGAAACTGACTGTAAAGACTTTGGCTCCATGGCGATTAAACTGTATTCGTGTGGTCTGAGCGCCATTCACTTAATAATGTGCGCTCAGACCTGAGCTATCTGGGGATATGTTAAATGTATAGTTTTAATGTAAGGTGTCTTACCTGATGTATTTTAAAGTGTTTTACTGTCTTTGTGTCCCCATGTGCTCAATGGAGTCTGCCTCTATCCCTGGATAATTGGATTACTTTCCCCATTGTCCAGGATAGAGGGCTCTGTAAAACCTGTTTGAGCCAGATAGCCATGCTGCCAGCCAGGGTATACAGGTCTGAGCAAAACGGTCCGTTACATCACACACTTACAAACAAGTGCAATTTCAGCTTTAGATAGATTGCCACACAATTCACAAACGTTCACCAAAAACCAAGAACATAAAACGCTTTTCCCAATGCATTTTGTCAACGCGACTTCTTAGAGGACAAAATGGAATGTAAAGATCCTCTCATTTTGCAGTTAACATCGTACCAAGATGCAATGCCACTATCCCACCACACACAGACAGACATGGAGCCACATCCCCCACTACAGACATAGGTCACTTTGAGCTAGGAGAACACCAGACAGCGCTGTGACTCCTGTCTCCTTTCCACCTTCACTCACAGCTAGAGTTAATGAACTGCACTCCTTCGATAGAGCAAAAAAATAGTGTGCAACCAAACCAGGGGCTTGTACAATCCCCACAAGGCTAAATCCAGGAAAGAAGAAAGGTCCAGGCACTCGAAAGCTCCGCAAGGCAAATTTATTGGAACAAAGCTTTCAACACAATGGGAAGCAGAGCAGAACATCTTTGCAGAACATCTTTGTTCTAATAAATTTGACTTGCTGAGATTTGGAGTGCCTGGACCTTGCTTCTTTTCTGGATTCACTCACAGCTGACAGATGAGGTAGCAGCCATTGAAAGTGAAATGCTGGTTCTAATTCTAGATTCCTCCCTGCACATGTCTACTAAATGGTACGCTCATGGCCTGAAAACACCAATGGCACATAAAAACATTGTTTAGGCAAACATAGGAAAAGAGAGACAGACATATATGGATTGCGTGTCTCCTTGTCCTGGCTTCTGGGCTCTCTGCAGCACAGCGGCCAATGCGGTCTGAGCCTGTACTGTGTAGGATGTATGCTGGAACGTGAGGGGCCTGTCTAGGAGGCTAACTTATAGAGCAGAAAGCTGTAAAACTTGGATTATCTCTGCAAAAACTATCCATATTTAAACATGCAGAAAGAGTATATTTACCACGTATCTAACACATTACAGTCGTTTTAGTGCTCATAGGGTCTCTTTAACCCCTTAAGGACACATGACATAAGTGACATGTCATGTTTCCCTTTTATTCCAGAAGTTTGCTCCTTAAGGGGTTAAACATTCACAGGAAGAAAGATTTTAGGATCTAGAACTTTAACAGCATCTTTCCAAACTGAGAAAAAAAATTTCATACTAAAATACATTCTTTTTTATAGGTGGGTGATCTTACGGACACAAATCAAGGTCTAATACTGAGTGAGACTGAGTCAATCTTTCTCTCCTATTCTCATTTTGATGGGATACTTGGCCTCGGATACCCATCTCTGTCTGTTTCTCGAGTCGCACCTTTCTTTGACAATGTATGGAATGAAGGGGTGATCCTTCAGAATCTGTTTTCTGTTTACCTGAGCAGGTAAGATCATATTTACACTCCAACTGGGCAGTGATAACCCTGAAATATCACCTGAATGAAGGATGTGCTAAGATGGTACGCTCATAAAGATGTTATTTTTATATGGATTCCAAAGAAACCTAAAGCATTCTATTATACAATGTACCCACTGTTAATTCTGTAAGGATTTAGGACATGCTTAAATTATCCCTTATAGCCCCTTTCTTAATAATCAGGCCTTCTCCCTGTGCTTTCCACCTCGAAATTTTCACAACATAGGAGGCAAGGAGTTTGCGTATTTATGATCTCCGAGATGTAAATCAAGGGTTGAATGAAAGATGAGTTAATATGGAGGATTGAATGACGTATGTGTGACAGATTCCCTGTCCCTGGATTATTGTTTTACTTACGAACACCACTGAACTATTTGGTTGTCGAGTGTATGGACTAAAATCGGCCACTCGGCGGCGCGAACACCGCTGGGACTTCCAGCCCCAAGTATGTTTGGTTTAATTCGACTCACTAGTGTGGTATTCGATAGAAACAAATTCCGGAACAAGGGGCACACGACCAACCCTTATACGAACAGATATTTTATTATGTTTGGTACTCCTGAAAGAGACCGACCACAAAGCCTGAATCTATGGAACTCTTTTGGGCAGGCGCCTTGTGTGCGGTCAGTCTAAACTATACCCCGGTGGCGTTTTAGTTACGTTTGTGGGATCTGAGCGCTCAGATGCAGGCTATCCGGGGATATAGAACTTGAGGGGGTACCTAATTGTTAAATGTCTCTTTTGGGGTGTATTTGATCTGTATGTCTTGGACCTGAGAAGTAATGTAATTATGTTGTGTACTTTGTAGCAGTCTACTGGGAATGCCCCTGGAATATGGGGATTCACATAAAAGGCCGTGTGTGGTACCATTAAAATCAGTACCTGCTTACCCTCAACACAGAGCCTCGTCTCATGATTGTAGGGAAAAGCTACACCTGCTTTGGCTACCGCTTGGATTACTGCTTAGGAAATACTTCAGCATTGCTCAGACTAGGGGTGTAGAAAATTCCTCCTCACCTTGCGGTATCTGCTGGCCGCTGCGGATCCACACCAAATTATACCTCCACGTCCGCCCACATTAATGACGACGTTGGCTTGCGCGTGACAGCACATTTGGGGTCAAAGGCCGTTTTTGGCCAATCAGAACTTAAAGCACTTATTTAAACTCAAATTTACTTTTCCTCATTGCCCTGCTGTGGTTTCCCTTGTGGTTGTCCGAGAGTGTTTTCCTGTGCGTTTAAATTCAGTTTTTTAACTTTGACTTTGTTTGACTTCCCTGTATTCTGGTATCCCTGACTTCTGGCTTTCACTTATCGTTGTGTCTCATTCTGTGTCCCGTGACCTCGGTAAGCATCCTGACTATTCTTTGGTGTGTTAAGTCCGGCCATTCTAAGGCCCGGTAATACGTTACCTATTAGTCATCTGTGTGACACAATCCTATGTGCTGGATCAACTAGTAATCCTGACAAGGGGAAAGGACATCTCTGGCGGCGGAAAAACCCCTCTTCTCTTGGGGTGGCCGCCACAGTATGTTTTGAGATGGTTTGAATAAAGGATGTTTTGAGATAAAGGTTTGAATAAAGCATGTTTTAAGATGAAGGTGTGCATGAAGGATGTTTTAACATTAGCTCCTGAATGAAGGAAGCGATAGCTGTTTTGGAATGCTGAATCTTGTTTCCATGGATTCCTGAGTTGCATTTTACTGCTATAAATAAATAAATATTTATATATTTATGTTTACTACATCTTATAGTGGCACAGGAAGTACAATCATGTTTGGTGGCATCGATTCATCACTTTACACTGGGAGTCTGCAATGGGTACCTGTCACTGTGCAGAAGTACTGGCAGATCACCATAGACCGGTAAGTCATTGTATACACTAGAGAGTCATGTCATAGCTTCTACATGCCCAACCCTGAACATGGTTAGCATGTATGACAAAACTGGATATATCCTCATAGTTACATTTTGCAAAACAATCCAAATTTTAAATATCCTCACAGCTATGTTTATCAAAATATTCAGAACTGCTGGGCTCTGGAGAGCAGAGAGTTTATCTACCTTATTTATGCCCAGATCTGCCACTGTCTAACGTGACACCAAAACCATAAAATAAATGTCCACCTCTAGCAATTATAGGTTATTGTCCAACATTTCAACCACAATTATAGGTTATTGTCCAACATTTCAATTCCCCACATAGTACGGCACTACCTACATAGTACGACACTTCTCACATAGTACGGCACTACCTACATAGTACAATACTTCTCACATAGTACGCCACTCCCCACATAGTACGCCACTCCCCACATAGTACGCCACTCCCCACATAGTACAGCACTACCTACATAGTACGGTACTTCTCACATAGTACAGCTCTACCTACATAGTATGATACTTCTCACATAGTATGTGTCAGGGTGGCGGTCCAGTGCCCGGGACCCAGATACTGTCCGGGCGGCGGTTTGAGGACCGGGACCCAGTATGCCTGATGATAAGTGGGAGTCTTCAGCGTGAGAGTGGATAGGTCAGGGTCTGGTGCAGGGCAACCGCACGCCCCCTGGTGTTGAGCACCAGCGTTTGTGCAGCCACATACCAGAACCCTGATGCAGCTTATGCGGATCCCAAGAACTAGTAGCAGGAATTAAGCAGACCTCCCAGGAGCTGAATAGGGAGGCTCTGCTGCAGGGATGTATCCAGTACAGAAACAAGGCAAGACTAGAGATAGACACCAAACTACCCACATAATACGCCACTACCCACATAGTACGGTACTTCTCACAAGACAGAACTAGTAGAACCTAGAACCAGAGAAGGATATGAAGCTAAACCCAGAACATGTACACAATACATAAGGGAACATTAACTAAACAGGAGCAGGACAGGACAGGACTGTACATGGACTGCGTTAACAAAATAAAACAAGACAAGAGATACAAGGTAAAACAAGAGGAGAAATAACGAAGCACTATATATGAAAATCATGGGGATTTAGTTACATTATATGATCATACATTGCATAAGCCTGCCACAACGCCAATGTACCCCATATCTGGCAGGTCCTACACTGCCTAATGTATGCTAAAATAACGATAAGAAACACACATAGTACTTACCTGCAAGAAAGGGCAGAAGCCATGAGCAGCTGCCTGCAGGACAATGAAACAAAAGGAATGATGGAAAACAAACAGGTGTGGCAACATAAAACAAACATTTAAAGGAAACCTGGAGACTGGGAATTCCAGGGACGAAATACAGGAATGAACCCAGAAAAACCCAGCATAAAGAAAACCAGACATGGAATAGAAAACCAGAAAAAACAAGAAAAACTAAACAAGAATTGTAAAAAGAGTACTGGATACCAGAAGCCAAAGCCAGAATGATCCGCAGCGAGGAACAGGATGTGACAGTACGCCACTTCCTACATAGTACGCCACTCCCCACATAGTATGACACTCCCTACATAGTACGGTACTTCACACATAGTATGACACTCCCTGCATAGTACGGTACTTCTCACATAGTACGCCACTCCCCACATTGTACGCCACTCACCACATTGTACGCCACTCCCCACATAGTACGGTACTTCACACATAGTACGCCACTCCCCACATTGTACGGTACTTCACACATAGTATGACACTCCCTGCATAGTACGGTACTTCTCACATAGTACGCCACTCCCCACATTGTACGCCACTCCCCACATTGTACGCCACTCCCCACATTGTACGCCACTCCCCACATAGTGGCACGGTAATTCTCACATAGTAATGGCCACTCCCACATTGTACGCCACTCCCTACATTGTACCACTCCCCCACATTGTACCACTCCCCTACATAGTAATGTACTTCACACATAGTACGCCACTCCCTACATTGTAATGGTATCACACATAGTATGACACTCCCCTGTATAGTAATGCACTTCTCACACATAGTACGCCACTTCCCACATTGTACGCCACTCCCCCACATTGTAATGCCACTCCCCACATTGTAATGCCACTCCCCACATAGTACGCCACTCCCCACATAGTACGCCACTCCCCACATAGTACGCCACTCCCCACATTGTACGACACTCCCTACATAGTACGGTACTTCTCACATAGTACGCCACTCCCCACATTGTACGCCACTCCCCACATTGTACGCCACTCCCCACATTGTACGCCACTCCCCACATAGTATGACACTCCCTACATAGTACGGTACTTCACACATAGTACGCTACTCCCCACATAGTATGACACTCCCTACATAGTACGGTACTTCACACATAGTACGCCACTCCCCACATAGTATGACACTCCCCACATAGTACGGTACTTCTCACATAGTACGCCACTCCCCACATTGTACGCCACTCCCCACATTGTACGCCACTCCCCACATAGTACGGTACTTCTCACATAGTACGCCACTCCCCACATAGTACGGTTCTTAAAATATAGTATGGCAATCCCTACATAGAACGGTACTTCTCACATAGTACGGCACTCCCCACATAGTACGGTACTCCCCACATTATACGCCACTCCCCACATAGTACGGCACTCCCCACATAGTACGGCACTCCCCACATTGTACGCCACTCCCCACATTGTACGCCACTCCCCACATAGTACGCCACTTCCCACATAGTACGCCACTTCCCACATAGTACGCCACTCCCCACATAGTACGGTACTTCTCACATAGTACAGCACTCCCTACATAGTACGGTACTTCTCACATAGTACGGCACTCCCCACATAGTACGGCACTCCCCACATTGTACGGCACTCCCCACATAGTACGGTACTCCCCACATAGTACGGTACTCCCCACATTGTACGGCACTCCCCACATAGTACGGTACTTCTCACATAGTACGGTACTTCTCACATAGTACGGCACTCCCCACATAGTACGGCACTCCCCACATAGTACGCCACTCCCCACATAGTACGGCACTCCCCACATAGTACGGCACTCCCCACATAGTACGATACTCCCCACATTGTACGCCACTCCCCACATAGTACGCCACTCCCCACATAGTACGGTACTGCTCACATAGTATGGCACTCCCCACATAGTACGTCACTCCCCACATAGTACGGTACTTCTCACATAGTACGGCACTCCCCACATAGTACGATACTCCCCACATTGTACGCCACTCCCCACATAGTACGCCACTCCCCACATAGTACGGTACTGCTCACATAGTATGGCACTCCCCACATAGTACGTCACTCCCCACATAGTACGGTACTTCTCACATAGTACGCCACTCCCCACATAGTACGCCACTCCCCACATAGTACGGTACTCCCCACATAGTACGGTACTCCCCACATAGTACATAGTACGGTACTCCCCACATTGTACGCCACTCCCCACATTGTACGCCACTCCCCACATTGTACGCCACTCCACACATTGTACGCCACTCCCCACATAGTACGGTACTTCTCACATAGTACAGCACTCCCTACATAGTATGGCACTCCCTACATAGATCGGTACTTCTCACATAGTACGGCACTCCCTACACAGAACGGTACTTCTCACATAGTACAGCACTCCCTACATAGTACGGCACTCCCTACATAGATCGGTACTTCTCACATAGTACGGCACTCCCTACATAGAAGGTACTTCTCACATAGAACGGCGCTCCCTACATAATACAGCGCTCCCTACATAAAACAGCACTCCCCACATAGTACGGCACTCCCCACATAATACGACCTTCGCTACAGAGTATGGTACTTCTCACATAGTACAGCACTCCCTACATAGTACAGCTCTCCCCACGTAGTACGACACTCGCCACATAGTACGTCGCTCCCCATGTAGTACGACACTCATCACGTAGTATGGCACTACTCACCACATAGTACGGCTCTACTCACCACATAGTACGGCTCTACTTGCCACATTGCACGGTACTCCCCACATAGTATAGCGCCACTCACCATATAGTATGACACTCGCCACATAGTACAGTGCTACTCACCACATTGTACAGTACTCCCCACATAGTACACTACTTTCACATAGTATGGCGGTACTCACCTCATAGTTCGGCTCTACTCGCCACATTGTACGGTACTACTCACTACCTAGTATGGCGGTACTCACCTCATAGTACGGCACTCCCCATATAGTACAGTACTTCCCACATAGTACGGCGGTTCTTACCTCATAGTACGGCGGTACTCACCACATAGTACGGTACTACCACATAGTACGGCGGTACTCACCACATAGTACGATATTTGCCTTATAGTATGGTACTCACCACATAGTACGATATTCGCCATATAGTACGGTACTCACCTCATTGTACGATATTTGCCATACAGTACTCACCTCATAGTACGATATTCACCTCATAGTACGGTACTCACCTCATAGTTAGATATTCCCAATATAGTACGGTACTCACCTCATAGTTAGATATTCCCAATATAGTACGGTACTCACCTCATTGTACGATATTCCCAATATAGCACGGTACTCACCTCATTGTACGATATTCGCCATATAATACAGTACTCACCTCATAGTTAGATATTCCCAATATAGCACGGTACTCACCTCATTGTACGATATTTGCCTTATAGTACGGTACTCACTTCATAGTTAGATATTCCCAATATAGTACGGTACTCACCTCATAGTACGATATTCGCCATATAGTACGGTACTCACCTCATAGTTAGATATTCCCAATATAGTACGGTACTCACCTCATTGTACGATATTTGCCTTATAGTACGGTACTCACTTCATAGTTACATATTCCCAATATAGCACGGTACTCACCTCATTGTACGATATTTGCCTTATAGTATGGTACTCACCTCATAGTTAGATATTCCCAATATAGTACGGTACTCACCTCATAGTACGATATTCGCCATATAGTACGGTACTCACCTCATAGTACGATATTTGCCATATAATACGGTACTCACCTCATTGTACGATATTCGCCATATAGTATGGCACTCACCACATAGTACGATATTCCCAATACTTACTTACTGCTCCCACTGGCTGTTTCCATAATGCACACTGGAAGACCCCTTAAAACAAACTCAGGTATTCAAGTGGCAAGATAACATTGCAATTAGTTATGTAGACTATATAATTGTAATAAGGACAACATTTTCTTCTTTATTAAACTTCAAAAAAGAGCTTACAAATTTCAAAAAAATAAATAAATATGGCAGATAATAAAAATCGTATAAAATCCATTCCAACCTAGGGGAAAGGGGGCACACAGGACACACACAAGTAGCTGAACAATTGAGACCCCACTGCATCTTGGATAGCCATGTTTACGTCCCCACTCCAGCTGTACTAACATAGCAGACTGCTGTGGTGCCCTTCAAGCCTCCCCTTATGTTCAGTCATTCAGGTGCTGGCAAACTGATCAGAGCAGTTTAGCAAGACTCTTCTCTCCTAACCCAAGGAAACAATTTCACCCAGTGGCCAATCTAATCTAGGACTGTTTTGTACTAGACAATTATAAGACTAAGGTGGCACAAAGGAGAAGAGCTATTACAGCAATGTGTAATGCTAATGAGAAACAGAGTTCAGTATCGGAAGTGATGGTCAATGATGGTTGCATCGATGAGCACCGTAGTTGGACCTGGTGTTTGGAAGAGGGATCTAACAGAATATGATTGGATGAGAGATTGGGATCAAGGAGAAGGCCGCCAGCCTGGGGTGGTAGTTCTGATATTGTAGGGAGACAGACATGGTGGTGGTACAGGTAAAGGTTTGTTGATTTCCTACTTTGGTGAATATATAAATTGTGAATTAATATTGGAGTTGGAGATGATTGTTTCTGTAGTGTATGATGCTAAATATATCTGTTCCATCCTGTAGTATAACCATAAATGACCAGATGGTAGCCTGTCACAGCGGATGCGAAGCCATTGTGGACACTGGGACCTCTGTAATTGCTGGACATCCAGAGCCTATTAACAGGATTCAGGGAATCATTGGTGCAAAACCAGACCAATATGGGTTGGTATGTATACAATTCTAAACTATTCAAAATTAAAGTAGTAAAGTAGTAAATAGTGGCACATTATCTACCGGTCTGTCTTTCTATCTCTCTGCCAATCCATCCACCTGCCAATTCATCCTTCCACCTGTCCATTTACCCATCATACAGGAACATTGATGAAGATGGCCCTGATCAAACAAGCTTAGAACCAAAAAGTATGAGGGACAAATATTAAGTGGGAATTGAGGGAATCAGATTATCTAGATATACCTTAAATGAGGGGAGGGGTGTTTCAGTGGAAGAATGTTGTAGGAGATGAGGAGTTAAGGGCTAATTGACTTCTCTAAAGTGTGTTTTGGGGATTTTTTTTTTAAAGGATGGCATGGAAGGGGAGAGTTGAATGTGACATTGGAGGGCATTCCATAAGGAGGGGGCAGCCCTGAACTAGACAATAGATGGGAGACAGCATGGGGAATGCTTTAAAGGGTGAGGAGTTGAGGACCGAGTGAATAGTCTTCACTGTAGAAGTGTGATTTTATTAATTTTTTTAAATGCTTTAAAAATGGAAAAGTCAAATGTGGCTTGGGAGGGCATTCCATAAGAAGGGAATGAAAGCTAATTCCAGTCGGAATAAAGCCTGACCGGATTGACATAACTCATTATGCACTCATTGGTTTAAAAACAGTGCTTTTCGCCTCAAAAACCCTACACAAAGGTATCTAGAATACAAAGCACAAATTGTAAAATAAATACAGACCAAATACACATCCACATCATTCACTGGCTTTTATGCAACCGAACGATAATTTGTAGTACTGTTTGTCTGTTTCCTAAAAAAACAAAACCATAGCAGTGTCAGGGATAATGACGTAGTGGCTATCCAGCCCTTCCTAAACAGCCACCACTTTGGAAAAAGGGAGCTATTTCAAAAAATCAAGAAGGGGAGTGAACATGCTATGGGGGGGGAGTTTAAAAGATTTAATACCTGTAACTTTTCATACTTACCTTCAGAAGTTTGTTTTTAGAATTGGTCAGTAATGGACACAACCAGTTTGACTAGTGCGACTAGATCCAACAGCAGAACGCTTAGTCGCTTCCCGCTGACGTTGTGCTGAGGTGTAGGCCTCTTCCATGGTGTTTCTTAATGAAGCTTGGCCCTTTGGAACACAGTGTGTGCTCTACTTTATCATTAGTCTGTTCTGCTGTCTGGTCTCTGGAATGCATATGCATTCCAACAAAAGGTCCATAAGGTCTTAAAGTGCCAGTATACCTCATGCATAGTAAATATTTAAAAAAAAAAACCCTTGGTGGTGTGAGGTGTAACGGAGCTCCCTGTACTCTGACCGAGTACCCTCCGTTGATGGATGCTCCTAGCGCTTCCTGAGGACTCCAAACACTGCAGCAGACACCACAACCACCGCAGACTCCACAACCGCCGTAGCTTAACTGGAGTCTCGCCGTCTTCCTTCCACCCTGGATCAGCTTCTGTCCTCCAGGACCGTGTGGGGAAGACCTCTCCTCCAGGAGAGCGTAACAGGAACAGCTCTTAAAAGAGCTAAGTGATTAAAAGCTCAGGGGAGTATGCAGAGCATAGCAATCCCCAGTGTGATATAGCAGTTCCCTCCAATAACGAGACAAGGCTACGTATTGAGGGTCAAGAAGATCTGATGTTTAATGGCACACACTCTGCTTTTATGAGATTCTGCCCATGCAAGGGAGACACCCACATAATTAGCAGTATAACCAATCGGAACAATATACATTCGGGGAAATTCCCATCCCTCAGAAAATCACATAACATAATTAAAACAGAACAGTAAAAATACAGTTTTTATACATGTACTATAACTTTCAAACTACACATCCAATCTTCATAAAAATACATATTTGGAATCAATCCATTAAGGGGAGCAACATATTAAAAAAAATGGCACAAATCAGACAAGGGGTTCAAAAGTTAGCAAAAGTGTCTTTTGGGGCCTGGCTGGCAGCATGGTTTTCTGGCCCAAACCGGTTTTACAGAGGCCTCTATCCTGGACAATGGGGAAAGTAATCCAATTATCCAGGGATAGAGGCAGACTCCATTAACCACATGTTAGCAAAAGACACAAAAAGACACAAAAATACATAACTCCTATTGAACTGAACAGAACCCCCACATTCAACCTATCCCCAGATGGCTTGGATCTGAGCGCTCAATATATCCAAACAGCGCTCAGATCCCACAAATACAGTCAAATCGCCATACACACTAGGTCCATAGTCATGGGGCAGAAGGCTGGCAATTAGGCTTCTCCATAACACAGGGAAGCAGGGCAATTTGTCAAATAAAATAACAGTTACAAATGGCAGTTTGTAACATGAGGGTTATAGTGAAACTTTAGTGCTAGGAAAACAAAGTTGTTTTCTTAGCACTATAGTTACCTATCGTGCCCCTCTTCCGAGTATCCTTCCGTGATCGCAATAGGACTTCCTGCATAGGAAAGCGTTGATGTCCTCATGCATAGCGTCAGTATGTCCTGTGCCATTTAGGTGACTAAAAGTCGACTAACCACCCGGAAGTCTCTTTAATGACTGTCTGGTAGACAGCCACTAGAGGTGGAGTTAACCCTGATGGTGATGGTGTCTGTAAAATAACATAGTCCTCCCATGCACCCACCTCGGGGCATAGGGTAGGAAGTACTTTAAAGATTAACAGGATAGGATCTAGGGTCCACCTCCAAAACCCATGGGTGACTGTTGGGGGCCCTAATATTTAATATTTATTGTCCCCTTCCACAGTCACCACCCACGGTGGCTTTACTAATTATAAAATAGGGGAGTGGACATGCCATTGGTCTTTAAAGAACCAGAGCACAACGTGAAGGACACAGAGGAGCGTGATAATGGTGGAATAGTTTTGTAGATGTTCTCATAATTGATGTCATATTATACATAATGCGCATCACCATTGTAGCAGACTTCATTCCCTTGTGTTTGGTTGTCTGTACCCCCTTGTTCGTCTCCTGGTGTGTGTGGTCTCCCTTTTATACCTTCCCTGAACACTGACCGCCCCTGGCTGTTAACCACAAATTAAGTACTTAACTCGAGTGCTTTCCCTGGGTGGCCGGACACAGGCAGCAGTACATGGTCATCGAATGTATGGAACTATTTTTGGCCACGCGGTTTCTTACCCAGGCAAATATGGTGCCGCTGTCCATTCAACTTCTCGGCCAACTAGACGAATGACATTCAGGAGATAGGAACTACCGACTAGGGGTAGCATTTGCTACCTAAAAGCCAGGGGGAGCATTCATATGTGTTTGCACAGGAACCCGTGAAAGGAGACCGGCCGTTGTCCTCAATTCTCTGGAACTGTTTTGGGCTATCGCCTCATGGCTGGAAGGTCAGAACTTTATCAGAATGGAGATTCCGTTCTACAAAACGGATCTGAGTGCTATATGGATATGTTGTGTGCTCAGATCCAAGCTATTCGAGGATATAAAATTTGTTGGGTTCCTGTAAAATATGAATATGTTTTTAGGGTGTTTCTGTATGTTTTCTGTATTTTCCTGTAACTGAGAGATCATTGAGTTACTCAGTAACCGCCTGGGAGGGGTTTGTGTTGTTTTGAATGGAGACCCCATGCTGGGGGTCTGTGCATAAAAGACTTTGTTTGAGCTGAATAAACCAGTTGTACTCCCCGAACTGTGTTACTGTTACTGGGGGGAATAGAGCCATTCACATTTCAGAGCCTTGTTCCAGAGCTTCTGTCTTCACAGATCCAGTGAAGAAATTGTCCCTTGTGGCCTTGTGGAGGGCCTAGCTGTCAGCATGCTGGACTCATCTTTATGTCACAGGTTTGTAATATGTCTGAGCTGGGGCAGCTTTCAACAAATCTTCAGAATAATTACTGATTCACACAAACGTGGAAGGCATGCGTGAAACGTTTTGCCACATTAAAGAAAGAGTTGCTTGCTGCACACTACTAAAAAAAAAAAAAATAATAATAAAAAAGCGAAGTCATGGAATTTATGCAATCCAGTACAAACACGGGCTTTACTTGGACAACTTATTTTAAGATTAAACTTGTTCTACCTGAATACAGAAACGTTTTTTACTTTTTTTTTTTCCATTTTCTATATTATTTTCATGACTGATGCATCGTTAGATTTTGGGCTCCGGGAAGAAACAACCCCCCCCCCCCTATAAATCAAAACACAGACACCAGATGAATGGGTAAAATTATTCCACAGCTTTTAATAAAGCAGATACCAGCACGAGGTTCTGAGCCCAGCGAGAATCCTACTACACCAACCTTAAAACCAAATGAACTGATTATCTAACCCCTTAAATAACCGTAATAATAATAATAATAACCATAATAATACTACAACGCTTCCCCTTAATCAAACTATCCGACCAGCCATCAGCACAGACTGTGACCCGCCACCCAAGAGGAACGGTGTATAGAAAAACCAGCAAATTGCCCAGACCAAACAAAGATAGAACGTAACGTTTAATCAGTATCAATTAAATAGGATTAGCGTGTTATCAGGGAGAGAGAAAGGCATAGAGAGGCTCAGCCTTGTAAGTACATTACATAGGGGAAGACTTAACCAAATGAAAAAAGAAAGACATTGTATACACATGAACAACAATTGGTCAAAAATCAAACAGTGGAGGCATATATTATTGTATTTGAGAAATTGGCTATAGTGTAGGCATATATTAACAAGCTCTGACTAAGAGACAGTCAAATATTGATCAGTGTTGTAAAATAAACACAATGCTCTGTTAAAGACCATTTTAGAAAAAGAGAAGACAACATTACGTTAAGCAGGAAAACCGACAACTACTAGGACCTGCATGTATTATCAGATAAGTTACTGCATTGTTCCTTCGAGGGCACTGTGACGAAGTGCCCTTCGCCACTTGGTCCTGGAGAGGTCTACTTGCCAGCCTCCTCCCCTGTGACTATGACTCTTTCATGTATC